ATTTCAAACACACAACCCTGAAACTCAAGACAAGTTGGATTTCCCAACATCACATCCTGAGTTAATGGTGGAATCTATACTCTTAACCACAGCCTTTTAAAGATGATTCAAATTACACATCATATATTTCCTAAAGAAATCACTTGCATACTATAAACTCTATTTTCTGTGTTAAATTAAGCAAGAATAATTTTCTCTCTTGTTTAAATAGAAAATGTAGTGAAAAAAATGGGAATTTTAGGTTGTTAAACTATTTGAGCAATGTACAGTAAAGCCAAGTATTAAATAGCAAGGATGACATTATACATATTTTCATAGGAATAAGATCTTTCCAGAAGATCATAAATATTTAAGCATGAACATACCATAAAGTGGCAACCAGGACAATTCTTGATTCAATGTGGAATGCTCTCTACAATCTGAATTTACTCATTAATTGCCAAATATCCTCTTTGTTTTGGAATGTGCAGATCTTTTTTTTTTTTTTTGGAATGTGTAGATCTTTAAGCTAGATCTTAATTTTCAAGGTATTTAACCTCCAAGCCCCCAAGAAGACCCTGTGAAAGTAAAATACAAAAGGAAAAGTCCAGGATCATCAATTTTTATGTTCTTCCTTCATCCAATTCAAATAGCTCAGTCTTTGCCAAGTCTCTCCTACTTATTTTCTTTCTTTCTTTCTTTCTTTCTTTCTTTCTTTCTTTCTTTCTTTCTTTTTTTTGCAATTGCTATAACTTTACTATTTTATTTTATTTACCAATCACATGTGTGGCTTCAAGGATTAGCTTCACCTAAAATATCCATTTTCCCCTTCTTTGTCAAAAAGGGAAGTCCTGAGTCTTAGCTGGATGCATAGCTTTCCAGAATAAAGGAATTTTTTTACATTTCTTAGCTTCCCTTGCAGCCAGGTAAATTCTAGCCCATGGAAATGTAAATGCAAGTAAGGAGTCCATGCAGACCCCTACTTTGTGTTCTCTTATAAAGTCTGAAGCTTTAGCAGCCACCTCTAAACAAGTGATCTTGGAACGGAGGCTTCAAAACAAGGCAATCACTTAGAAGGAGGTGGTCCCTGCCACCCAGGAATGCTATCCCAACCAAGATCAATTGCCTTCAGATTTTTGAACATAAGAGAAACATTTCTAGCTTGCTAATCCGTGTTTTTAAAAATAATTTGCAGCCAACCAATATATCGAAAACAACATATAATTTACTACCACATTTGATCTTTGTTGCTTATAGGATGCCACAACAAAGACCAGTACAGGTTAGTTTTAGAGCTCTGGTAACAGGCATAAACAAACAGCTTGGGTGATCGGAACACTGCTGAGTTTCCATCGCCTATGGATTTGCTGGCTGCCTTGCCTTCCTTTTGTACATGGTAAAAAATTATTTGTGGTTGTTGTTGTGATGACTAATATCTAACACTGTCCAGTTCAGCAGATACTTGTAGGTGAAATGCTCTTTGAAAGAGTTAAATACCTGTGTCTGCTCACCTTATAAAATTTTCTGAAAGGACACTTGTGTGAACCACTGGGAATTAATTTGCATGCTCAAGTCTAGTACTTTGCATTCTCAGGTTAGGTAGGTAAGTGGGGTGGAGATGTTTCCTCAGTCAGTCTTAAAGTGGCCAGGAGATGTTGATGTCTGAGGTTCTAAGCAGCTGCTGAGCTTACCTCAAGGAAAACATCTCTTAGTAGAGGCAGGTCACTAAAAGCACAGAGACAAATACTGAAGGGACAGTTTTGCCTGCTTTGTCACAACCTTTAATGACATCTGAACAGGGGAGCCTGTGATGGTTTATCTTGAATCCATGACTGGTTATGTAGATAAACCACTGCGAATCAGACTCGACTCAAATGTTTAGTCAAGTTCAATCCAACTGCAGCTCTATAAAACCAGTCCTGTTTTTAGCCTAGATCTGAATATAGTAAGCAGTTCATTGAACTTTGTAAAATTCCAGATGAATTTTGTATCTAATTTCTCATATGATATAGCAAAAGGAGTAATTGAGTGCTACCCAACTTTACATAAAATTCTAAGTACTTAAAAGTTTGAGTTTTGAGGTATTTATACTTAAAAGCCTTTGAAAAAAGTGGTTGAATAACTATTTCCTTCTTGGATGGAGAAACAAATTTTCCTTTAACGTAAAAAAAAAAAAATCACATTTGGGAGGCAGCCACCAGGGACAGTTTCACTTGGAAAGAGACTTTTTGAGAAAGTTCCAAGTGACTGAGAAAAGAGAATTATAATGGAATTTGCTCCACAACTCTTATTCTGACAGAGGGGCTATTCATCCTATGGAATTCTTGTAAAATCACTGACCTGAACAATATGCTTCTGAGAATGTTTTCCTGCTTAGCTTATAAAGATATTATTATGTATCTATGATATAATCACTAGAAAATGCTCCCCCTGGGGCATTTGTTGTTTCTCTAATTATCATAGTTGATTGTGTAACTGATATCTCTGATGTGCGTAAAGGTATAACAGGAAAGGAGAGTCAATCTTTTATGCAAACTGCACTTTCTGTCTTTGTTTTAGTGTTATATATAACAATTCTGTCAATTAAAAGACATCCTATAGACAGATTATTTTAATAATTTAATTTAAAATGGATAAAAGTTATTGTAACAAGGTTACAATGGTTCCTATAGTATTTGTGATTTTGATGCCAAGACAAATCTATTTTCCACCATAAGCTCTGATACAAGTTACTTCTCTGAGCCTTAGTTTTCTTTCTGTGGAACAGAGTTAGAAATACCTCTCATCTCACAGGACTGTTTTGGGGATCAAGACAGATGATACCTGGAAAGAGTCTAATATGGACTTCTTGCTGTCTATTATCAGCATTATCTTAGAATCTGTGCAATGCCAAAGCCCAAAGCCACAAATGATAGAAATACATATTATTTGATACTGATTTTCATTGTGAATGGAAGAAAAGTAACTCAAGAAAGTTAACCAACTATGAAGAAATTGTACTCTTTGACTGTCAGTTAGGTCTTCTCAATTATTCAAAGTATTTGGGAAGATCAGAGATTAGGTTAATGTAAAACAGCCATGAAACTAAAAATTCTTTGCAATTGGCTTTGGAATGTGTTTGGTTCTTACGTTTGAAAATTGGTGTCTGGTGGTCTAAATATTCACTTCAGAGAAAATGATGAAGACATACTGAGGACACATGGTTCAGGCGAAGAGAAAGATGCCTGGTTTCCCCATCCAGTTTCTCCATCCAGCTCTTCTCTTAACACAATGATAGAAAATGTCTGCTTTCTCTTAACTGACAAAAAAAAAAAAAAAAAAATCCTTGCTCTCTCAAAGCCTCCTTAAAGTAGGGAGGTAGCTAAGTATTTGATCTTCAAAGGGCTTGTCTTCATGCAAACTAAGTAGAGGAAATTGAAATGTCTAAAAAGCTATAATTAAGCAGATTCCACACTAACTGCATTGAACTTGAAAGCAAGTTTATTATGGATAACCTAAAGTTCTGATAAACCACCCAAGGACAATACTAATTAACCTCAGCATGCTTTGAATATGATGAGGCATAGATCTGAATATGTCTTTAAAACAAAGCCTGCATTACTGATTTTATCCTTTATTTAGAAGTATTGATTTATTATTAAGTGAGCATTTAAAAAACTGGCATAAATTAAACGATTTTTTTTGAGAAAAAACTCACTTCTAGGAATTTCTCAAATTATTTTATTTTAGATAAAATATTGAATAAATGATTTGAATCTGACAGAAAATAAATAAGGCCCATTGAAATGCATTTCAATAATAAATACTGCAAAGTGTTTTTAAAGCCATGCACGAATCTATGGTTAATGAGAGTGAAGTAAGCTATTCTTAACAATGAAGAGAAGGTGGCATTTAGCAAAACAAGGATGTTAAATCTTGTCTTCAGAAAAATCCAGAGGTAATATTATGACAGTGGGTTTGTTTGTTTTTGAGAATTAATTGTAGATGATATGTGAAATTTAAGAAACAAAGCAAGTGAGCACAGGGAAAAAAGAGAGAAACAAACCAAGAAACAGACTCTTAACTACAGAGAACAAACTGATGGACACCAGAGGGGAGTTGGGTGGGGGATGGGAGAAGTAGGTGATGGGGATTAAGGAGTGTACTTGTCCTGATGAGCACCCAATAATGTATGGAAGTGTTGAATCACTATATTGTACACCTAAGGCTAATACAGCACTGCATGTTAACTATACTGGAACTAAAATTAAAAAATAAATTTAAAAAAAGGAATCAGGGGGCAGCCCGGGTGGCTCAGCAGTTTAGCACTGCCCTCAGCCTAGGGCATGATTCTGGAGACCCAGGATCCAGTCCCACATCGGGCTCCCTGCATGGAGCCTGCTTCTCCCTCTGCCTGTGTCTCTGCCTCTCTCTCTCTCTGTGTCTCTCATGAATAAATAAATAAAATCTAAAAAATAAATAAATAACTTTTAAAAATTAAAAAAGGAATCAGTTGTAGAACAATTTAAAAAGAAAACTGTTGTTTCTAAAGATTTAAGACAGAGCTTTAGAGAAACTTAATAACGTTGTACAGTGATTTTTAACATTCTAACAAGAGTGTGGGCTGTCGTGTTAATGAATATTATGTGGATGAATGTCCTGGGTCAGACATTGGATTATACAATGTTTTTTTTTTTTTTAAGATTTATTTATTCATTCATTCAGAGAGAGCGAGGAGAGAGGCAGAGACACAGGCAGAGGGAGAAGCAGGCTCCCTGCAGGGAGCCCGATATGGGACTCGATCTGGGGTCTCCAGGATCGCGCCCCGGGCTGCAGGCGGCGCTAAACCGCTGCGCCACCGGGGCTGCCCTGGATTATACAATGTTAAACAGGTTGTAGTCTTCATTACTTATCTATTGCTACATAATAAGTTTTTCCAAAATTCAGCAGCTTCACTGGGTGGTTCTGGCTCAAAGTAGTTCATAGGCTACAGTTAGGATGCCACCTAGGGCTGCAGTCATCTAAAGGCTTGACAGGGCTCTCTGGGCTGGGACCTGGCTGGCGGCGACATGGCCAAACGCACCAAGAAGGTGGGGATCGTGGGTAAATACGGGACCCGCTACGGGGCCTCGCTCAGGAAGATGGTGAAGAAGATCGAGATCAGCCAGCACGCCAAGTACACCTGCTCCTTCTGCGGCAAGACCAAGATGAAAAGGCGAGCGGTGGGCATCTGGCACTGCGGCTCCTGCATGAAGACCGTGGCCGGGGGCGCCTGGACCTACAACACCACTTCTGCTGTCACAGTAAAGTCTGCCATCAGAAGACTGAAGGAGTTGAAAGACCAGTAGAAGCTCCACCATTTGAAACATTGCTAGCCTACAATAAATGGGTTAATTTATATAATAAAAAAAATAAATAAAGGCTTGACAGGGGCTGGAGGACTTGTTTCCAAGAAGGTTGTTAGAGGGAGGTCTTTGTTCTTTGCTACTTGGGCTTCTTTGACAGATAGTGACTAGCTTTTCCCAGAACGAGTGACCTGAGAGAGAGAGGAAGGAAGAGGCTGCATTTCCTTTCATTTCCTATCTATTTCTAGAAGAAACACATAGTAGAGCTCCCAGGTTTAGCTCTTAGCCCGCTGAGTATTATGCTAGCAGACACACTTACAGGACAGAAAAGAAGATTGCAAATAGCCCTGACCCAGGGGACTAGAGGAAAATGTCACAGTGGAGGTGACCTCAGAGCCAGGCCTTAAAGGGTAGCCAGCCTCAGGACCCAGTGTCATCAAAGACACCGTCCTCTTCCTGAACTGTGGGTTTAGAGAACGCCAGTGTGAGTATACAACACCGTGAATGCTAGAAGGTTCTGGGAGATGAAGCTGGAGACCTAATGGCCATTACCTGGGAGGTAAAAATCAGAACTGCAGTGTTATCTAGCTCACATCTGAAAATGTTTAATATTAATATTCACCTTTGCAAAGAGAGATTCACAGAGCCAAGAAGAGCTGTCTGAGATGGCCTGGAATACGGGGTGTGGTAGACACTGCGATGCACCACCCAGAACCCCTTCCAGGGATGAAAGACTTCCTCTCCCAGCTGCTGGGAGTGCTGCCAGCAGAGAGCCCTCAGAGGTCAGCCTTTCCTGGGACACGACATCCACTGACTGGTCAGTGTTGGCGTACAAAGACCCAACTCTCTCCGCTCAACTCAAGAAAGCACGGAGGGCCATCCCGGCTTTGGAGGGCCCCGCAGAGGATACCTGGGCACCGCCTCCCTCAGTGATGGAATTTAATTGCCTGTCTGGTTGAGGCTGCCTCACAGTTTGACTTCTCCCTCTGCCTTCATCTCTCCTCTTCTACGGGAAGTGATCCCAAGAGATCCTATAATAAAACTCTTGAGCTCGAACTCCATCTCCGAGTTTCCCTCAAGGAGCACCCAACCGGTGCCAGTTAGTGTCAGGACTGACTGGTTGAGAAATCAGATGCTGGAATGGAGTTTTGGAGTTCTTGGCTGGCAATCTGAATTCCATCGCTGGGGTGGGGGTGCTCAGGTATCCTCTGGTACAAGGTAGTAGTGCAATTGTGTTCACCACCCTTGCCAGTGGTGGACTGGGCTGCCATAACGGTGCCCAGTGGAACAGAAATCACTGATTGGTGTGGTGTAGTAGGAGTTAGAGAAATGTGTGGGAGACAGTAATTCTGAGGATGGTGGGACTGGTTGGCTATACCTACACTCGATCGACACTGAAAAAGCCAATTATGACAAAGAACCAAGAGTGACTGAAGTTGAAAACATAAGCATGAAAGCCAGAGACAGCCTCCTTGATTTTTTTCAAAGATTTTATTTATTTATTCATGAGACACGGAAAGAGAGAGAGAGAGAGAGTGAGAGAGAGAGACAGGCAGAGAGAAGCAGGCTCTATGCAGGGAGCCCAACATGGGATTCGATCCCAAGTCTCCAGGATCATGCCCTGGGCCCAAGGCAGGCACTCAACCCCTGAGCCACCCAGGCGTCCCAAGAGACAGCCTCCTTGGTAGCATGAAGAGCCTCTCATCTCCAAGAAAGAGGGCAGAGAAAGCTGAAGGACAGACAGGAGTTAATCATAACAGTAGCAGAGCTCAAAAGGTTAAGCTCCCAAACAAGACAGATCTGTTATGCCAATCCAGGGCCCTGGAAGGAGGGGGGTGAGGGCAGGGGGAGACTAACCCCAGCACATGGACAGGACATCTGGATTGATGTGCATGAGAATCATGAATTCCCAGACTCCTCTGAACCCACTGAGCCTGCACAAGGGGCCCACTCTTCCTGTAAGGCCCAGCATTTTCCCTCGCTTGCTAGGAAGTCAGTACAGCTCAGATTCAGTCTCGGTATAACCCAGCCAAGGCCATAAACGGGCCCAGTAAGGGGAGAAAGGTTCCTGTCCCCAGAGAGCTGGCAAATGGGCAGGGAAAGATTAAGGGGCTCTGGCCTGGGTTGGGTGAGTGGTTGATGAAGGACGGTGGAATGGAAGGCTGGATAATGCTCAGTCTCTCCAGACAGAGGATCTAACTACCCTGGCAGGGACCCTGGGACCCGGCGCAAGCACACTACCAAGAGGCTCCTAGAAAAGCGCTTGAGAACACTCAGTGAGGCAATGATGCCAGGGTGGCCGCAACGGACAGCAAGAGGCTTTAAAGCTGAGCAAAATGGGCATGTGGCCGCGGATACCTGCACTGAGGGGGATCAACACCAGAGGTCCTTCTGCTCAAACAAGGGAGGAGCATCATTCACCTGCGACAGGGATACGCCACTAAGAGGGGCACCTGCATCTTTAGGTTCAGGGTAGCTGTCCTCTGTAAGCCACGGCTGGTGGAGGGGAGGCCACTCCTGGTAGCAGTGGGAGGGAGAAGACCCTCCCCACGCTGGGGGGGACCTAATTGTGGTAACGGGTGGCAAAGGCATGAAGGCAGACAGAGGGGGTCTATGCTCAGAGAACTATAGACGTTGTTAGTAGAACAGGGTTCCTAAGGCAAAAAGAGATGGACAGCCAGGGAGGGTATGACTTAATCCATTAAACCAAAAGAGATTAAGGATGGATAACTAGGAGGCTGAAGCCACTCATCCCAATAAAATGTTTCTGAGCCTGAGCCAATTGTTGGACCTGTAACCCAGTGGCTAAAGAGGCCCAGCCCCCAGGAAAAGACCCTGCAATCGCGCAGCAAGTGAACCCAGTGATGATTCCGCCGCCCTTCCCTAACTTATGGCCATTTTACTAGGGAAAAGGGACAGTGACACCCAGAGGCTCAAAGCATTGCCCTGGTGACCTATACACATGTGATCACGTGGGTGCCAAATAATACGTGGAATCCTGGCTTGTGTGTGGCTCCCAGTGAGCCCGCTGGGACTGTGGACAAACCCGGTGGTCATTTCCCTGGTCCCCAAATGTGTAACTGAAATAGCTACACCTTGTCACTGGTTGACCCCTCCATCGGCCTCTGGGCCTAAGGAGGTCAGAGTTATCAAAGGGACCAGGAATAGCCAAGCAGATGTCTCTGAAACTGCCCCCTCTCTTCAGCCAAAGTAGCAAGTCAACAACAATATTGCTTCCCAGAGATGGACATCTCGTTTGTAGCTCATCTCCAAGGCCTCCAAACTGAAAAAATAACTTCTAGTGAAGATTTCATGATAGCCATTATTATTCAGTTCTGTGATGATGAAACTATTTGAAAAATCCACAAAAACTTCTAAAACAAGATTTTGCCTATATGTGTTATCTCAGTTACTCTCAAAAACACATTCTTTTTTTAAAAAATTTTATTTATTTATTCATGAGAGACACAAAGAGAGGCAGAGACACTGGCAGAGTGAGAAGTGGGCTCTCTGTGGGGAGCCCAACGTGGGACTGGATTCCAGGACCCCGGGGTCATGCCCTGAGCTGAAGGCAGATGCTCACCGCTGAGCCACCCAGGTGCCCCTAAAAACACGTTCAATCAAAGAGTGCTAATACTGTTTGCTAGGTTAAAAAAAAAAAAGCTTTTTATTAAAAAAAAAACTATTTTTGTTTGGGACAGAAGTCAGGCTAGAGGGTGGCAGCCAGGGACCTGCTCTGCTGGTCGGGGGGCTATGGTCAGTGGACCTGGATGGCCTGGCTGTGCTGACCTATGCCAGATTTGCTGCCCCCCCCAAAAAGGTGCACATGATCACCAAGCCCTGGCGGGGCCTTCTGGAGCCATGCCTGTCTTTCAGCCCGCTTGAGGAGAGGTCATCATGGTACCTGCCACACAGGACCATCACCCACCTTTGAAAAGACAAGTACAACACTGTTTATGATCTGTCAGCCGGGCAAGGGGCAGACACCTCGGCCTTCACGTCTCTGCTGGAGGAGCAGCTACTCCCTGTGCTGACACATACTACTGGGATTGAATTGACACCAGAAACCAGGTAGACATGACCTGGAAGTGGTATGCAGAGGCTCTTTGCCTTTGGCTACTTGGTTTTGGAGATGCTCCCACTTCTCTGGACACTTTTGCCTTTGGCTACTTGGCTTACTGCTGCAGGTAAAGCTGCCCAATGGGAAGCTGCAGGCCCACCTTCAAGAGTCGCACGACCTCTCTGTCTACTGCTCACACATCTTCAATGTCTACTTCCCCTGAGATGGAGCTGAAATGCCACCTCCATGCCAGACACCAGTGGGCCCAGAGACTGACAAGGAACCATCCCGGTGCTGGAACCAGATCCGATGCATGCTGGGGGGCTGTCAGCCATGGTGGGCTGCGCCTTGCTCAGTAGCATAGTCTCCATCCGGCGAGCAATGACTGCTCGGGGCTTGGCTGAGGATGATGAAGAGGAATGATTCGTCCTCATGCCCCCAGGACTGATTTTTCTACCATCATACTTTCCAAAGATCCCCGTGTTTCCCTGCTGTTGGTCCAGCTGGAGATGGGATTCCGCTCCCAGAATAAACTCGTCCACACTGTATGTGTGCGCATGTGTAGATGTTAGAATGGCTCTATTAATTTTTTGACCCGTAACGACCTCAGTTCCTAAAATAGGAAATCCAAGGCTGACCTTACAGAAAATAGTAAAATACATACATTAGCCCTTTGTCCTTCCCTTCCTCTTCCTCATCTCTTCAATCTTTTCTCAACCAAATGCTCCTCCAGTAACTTTATGTGAATGTGTTAAACACTATTTTGGAAAATCCAGAAAACAAGACCAGATTATAGTGTTCCGCGTTTGATATGTTATCCTTTTCAGAGAGAATTTACTTTGTGTGGTTTAAAAAGAGAGTTTAAAATGGGTAAAATTTAGGGAGAACATGACCTAATGGGACACTTCAGTCACCATTGGAGGAACATTTGTTGATATTTCAGCGGAACAGCCTTCATAGGTCTTTTCTTTTCTTTTTTGACAATTTTATTTATTTATTTA